TCATGAAATTTCCAAATATGGAAAGCTCACCAGCCAAGTATCTTGGGGTTCTTAGTAATTTATAATAAAGAAAAAAGAACAGAGATGAGAAATTTATGGATAAAAGGAAATTTTAAGAAGGTATATGAACAAATTGCAATGTATAGACCTTATTTGGATCTTAATTTAAGCAAATCAAGTATTTAAACATTATGAGATAATCAAATGTGAATAGTAACTGAATGGCTGATAAAATTATCAAATTATTGTTAATATATTTAGGTTTAACAATGATGCTTTGGTTATATTTTGAAAACGTTCTTATGGTTTAGGAATGGATACTGATATGTTTTTGAATCAAAGAATATCATAAGACTAGCTTCAATAAAAAATGAGCTTGTCTCAAAATAATCTAGCACAAATGGGCCCAGTTGGGGTCCATGAGTTGATAATCATGGACCTGGTCCTGAGTTGATAATCGTTAAAAGCAAGTGATGAAACTTGGGATTTGTTATACTATCCTGCAGACTTTTGTAGATGCTTGAAATTGCCCATCTGGAAGAGTTTAAAAAACACACATGGTCATTTTTTTCTTTTTTTTTTTTCTATTTCAAATTTATCTTAGCCAGTTCATCTATAATGAGCATGTTAGATTAACTTTCCAGGTTACCAAGCCCTAAGTGGAAAGAATAAATCATACTCTAAGTGTGGCTTATTTCCCTTGATGTTGTTGTATATCATTTGTCAATGAATTTTAATAAACACTAGGTGGCACAGTGATTGCTTTATACTAAACTGGCAAAAGAGAAAATGGTTTATCCCGTTGACATGAATAACACCATCCGTCACTGATGTGGCATGGTGACATCATTTTTGAAATTATCTCATTTCTTAATAGATGAAAAATTTCTTCATCCTTTAATGATAATGCTCCCTCTGTGATACAGGTTCCCCTAAACATAATTTATTAAAACTTCTCCTTATATAATTTTTATTCTTGCATTTCTTTAACCTTTCGATTTAATATGGCTGTATCCTGGCAGAAAAGGCTGAAATTGAACTTTGCATAGCTAAATAGTAGAGAGAATTTGGTATTCTTCAAAGTAGATTGACACAAAATATTCACATGCTGCAAAAGTTAATATAAAGTAGCTCTGAGCCTTTTCTCTAATATCTGAATATTGCTTCTAGCTTCTCACTCTCATGTCATTAATTGGTCCCAAGTCTTATTTTAGCCAACTCAATTTTCCCCCCAGCTAATTTTTTCTTAACCAAAATAATATATCATTCTAGTTTTACAGTAGATGACTAATTTAGGGAATCACTGGGGTTTTATTTAATAGATTATGATTAAAGTATTCAATTTCAAAATCCATTATTTTGGACAAGAAATAAACTCAGCACCCAAAAATGTAGGAAGAATGGTAGATTTGGCTACTTATAGATCAACTGTCTCATGGCATTGGTCCACTCCATTCACTTCTCTGGGTCTCAGTTTCTGGCATACAATCCTTCATTGAGTAAATATTTGTCTACCTACCAATGGCCAGATTTTGCTGAAGCTAAAAATACAGAAATGTGTGCAATATTACAACCCACAGTGCCGTCTGAGTTGACTCTAGAAGATGTTTAGGAGCAAAATGAAGACTAGGACACAGGACTGTTTTAGGCAAAGATAAAGTCAATGGTGCTGAGGAAAGGAACCAGTATACAATGAAAACAAAAGATTTAGAATAAAGGAGGAATATAAGAAAGCAGAGAGGAATCCCCATCAGATGGTAGGCTAGAACAAAATGACCACTAGATCCTTCCTATGATACATGCTACATAGCATTGGCTGAATCAGAGAATCTGTGCTTTACTATTTTTTATCACCATGATTACTTACAAATTCTTAGCCTCTCTAAATTTCAGAGACCTTATTTGTAGAAAAATGAGAATTCCTATGAGGTTGCCATGGTGCTTAAGTAAGATAATACACTTAACGACAACCTTATACATTGCCCTATTTCATCCTTTATCTTGGATGGAAGGTCTCAGGGGAGTAGTTTCCAGGCTTTTGGTATCCTGAGCAAAAAACCGAGCAGAACAATACTTCAAAAGGGTAACAAAAGTAAGATTTATTAAAAGCAAAAGAAATGAACGTTCACTCCATAGAGTGGGAGCAGGATGGTGAAAAGAGCTCATGGTCCTGATAGGGCAGATACAGGATCTCTTAAGGTCTTGCAATTATGGGAGGATCTACAGCTGGGGACTGACAGTAGTCATGGCCCTAAGGGACACTTGACTCAGCCCTCCCGGGGCGAGGGTGGGTGCCTCTACAAGGTTTTTGCAGGAAGTGCCGTGGTGTCCAAAGTCTACTGGAGGAGGGCTCAAAAGCATAATGCAAATAAGGTTGGACACAGACACAGGTCATGTCTTTTGCCTTTGCACTGCCTGCACATCTTTAGGGAGGCAGAGTGACCTGTATCTGTTGGTTTTCTGATATTTTGACAGTCATTCTAGTTTCTCCATTCTTGCCCCACAGCTTTCTGTTGTTTAGTTGTCCTTGCTCCATCTCTTATGCCAATCCCAACAAAAGTCCTACGAGAGATTTCTGAGATTCATCACAGTATTTATTATTCCTATTTTTGCAAAGGAGAAAACCTGAACTCAAAGAGGAGGCATAGAACACACATGGCAGAACCTGCTCTCCTAGCCTCCTGTTCAGCCCTCTTTCCACCATCACAGAGAATTCTTCTATTTTCACTTCCCTTTGAACAAGTGAAGAATTTCAACACAGACTGGGGACTAGTACAGATTTGTTTATTTTACAGCTCAAGATGTCAGATTTCCTTTTGGGTTTTTTCTATTATTCCAACAGATCGATTGTATACAGAAGCCGTTCTTCTCATGCTAAGCCTTCTTTGTGGAGTATTAAGGTGATGAATGTCCTGCCAGTCAATGACCTGCTAGCATGAAGACTAACAAGTATTTTTAATCATTTTTATGTGCACCAAGTCTCTTCTCTGTCGTTCTTCCATTTGTTTGGGTTTCTGAGCTAAAGCTTTCTTCACAAACTATTTCTCCAGAAATGAGTAAAGCTTCTGTTAGAAATTGCCTCAATGGGATTTCATAAAAAGTCACAGCGATTTCAACTGTGAGAGCTTCTCTCAAACATTGTGCAGAAGCAGGGACATCACTAGCTTTGTTTTTACTGGTGTTGCTAATAATTAAGAGGAACCTACGGGCTATTACAATTTTTGAAAGTGGAGGACAAGAGGATCATGGGTCCTGAGGGGCAGATGACAATGGTCTTCCCCATGTGGAAACAGTTTAAAGCTAACCTCTTTACCTGTTAAAGATGATCAAATAGAAGTTCCTCTCTCTAACTGCTGTGGAGTGTGTGTGTGTGGGTACAGAGATTCCAATTTAATTCTATTCCAGGCAGAGGCCTTATTTAATCCAAGGAGAGGAACAAGATGTTTTCTTTTTGACTGCTTCTGGAAGGTACATCCAATTTGATGGATACCCACAACTCCATTACATACTTCTCCAAAATATTTCTTCTGCTAGTCACCTAAAATATAGGTTGGGTGTTAATATGTACTATAACTAAAGATGTTTCCTAAATATTATATCTATTTTGAATGTGTCAAGTGTCTAATTTTGCTAAAATTGTTGCTTCTGTTTCCATGAGCCAAACTTCCCATCACCCTTATAAAATGTTCTTGATTCTCTCCACCTCAAACAAATGGAGTAATGGGGTTGTGCCTAGGACTGGTACCTCCTGCCTGCACCTGTGACTGCTTATACGTGCTTTGGGAAGTGACTACATTTCCTGGATTATGCTTTTCTTATCTCACCTCTCTTTGGTACCGTGGCTCTCTGCACATAAGAGGTAGCATTGAGGAAATGTGCATAAAATTGAATTCTCCTACCTCTAATACCAAAAGGACTTTAAGAACCAGTAAGATGATGCTTAAGAAAAAAGCAATGTATTCCTTTGAAGCTTTAGGGAAAAAAGATAATAATGATGACAGTATGCTTCAAATGGTGGATCTCAGACTCCTAAGCTTTTAATATGAGACATAAATTTAGGCATCAAATTATTCTTGCTACCAAAGGGAAGATTGAATGAGGTTTTGCTTATGTGCTGATGCTTTAGGTGTTTTTATGATGGGAGAAACGTCTGTATCGAGACTTAGACTGCTGCATGCTGCAGTCATTACCACCCAGCACAGGACTGTCAGAGGTCTTGCTGTAAGTATGTTTCCCTGAAAATGATGCCTGGCCATTTGCATGAAATACTTCTATTTCAAAAATAGAATCTTTAGAGAAAAGAAAAAGGCCAAAATGAGAGGAAATGAACATTGATGTGAGACATCATACTGGCAAAGATTCATAGACTAGACACAGTAGCACACTTGATTTTCAGGTTTTCTGACTTTTCAAGGACCTTGGAATGATTTCTATTCTAAAGCCATTTTGCAGCTAGGATATCATCATCAATAGGGTTCTTTGCTATAAGTCAATAAATTAAAGCAGCGGGACCTTCAGTATTTAGGCTTTCATTATGTGCTTATAAAAAATGTGCATGTAATAAAAGCCCTATAAACTCCCATGACGTATCTCTTAAATTGTTTAAAAACAGGACGAAAAAAGAATTAAGATGTATTATGCCCACGTGCCAATTCCCCGTGATAAATGTAATCGTTATGTTCTGCAAACATGTACTAATAATTTAAAAATAAAATGTTTAAAAACCGATGGTACATGTATTTTTAGATGGTCTTCTGGGAGAGACAGAGTGAAATGAGAGCCCATTGTTGTTTATCTGGCCTTCTCACTGTGCCCTGACGGGGACCTGCTGTGACAGATTTACTGTCTTTCTCTCTCTCGCTCCCCTTCCTGCTTTGGTGCCTCCTTTGATCATTTTCATGCGCTTGAAGGCAAAGTACTGTCTCTGCTTTTCTCAGTTTATCAAATTTGCCACTTCTATTATTAAATCAGAATCAAATGACTAATTATATTGGACTTACATTTGATGACCAGCTTCAAAGTCATGCCTGCTATCACTCCGTTTCTCCATGGGAAATTACACGTCTTTTTGTAGGAACCAGCATACGAGCTGAGCTCCAACCTGACCAAGGGGTGATACGGATGAAAAATGAAGAGACACAGAAACAGGTTAAAATCTGGGGGTCAAAGGGCCCCTGTCTCCCTCAGACAAAGAGCCCCAAATGACTGGCGTCCCTTGGCTTTATTCACTCAACAGAGGCACGAACAATTAGGGTTCCACAGAATCCATCTGTCTCCCACCCTCCATGGTACTTCTCATAGTAAATAACCTACCCTCAGGTGTTTTTACTTCTCCCTGGGGCGTGTTAGCTCACTTGCACGCCCTCTTTCTTCTCAGCGCTCATCAAGGAGGCCAATTAGACCTCATTCTTCCCATCTGGTTTCCCATAGCTTTTGTCTTTTGGATGATATGAGCTTGTAGCAATTTGTTTTCCTTTTTGCTTTGGTTTCCAGGATACTCAGCATCAAACTTGTAGCCTAATTAAAGAAACTCAGAGAGTCTTCTGCCTCATAGTGCTCCATAATAGTTTTTAACTGTCTTCTTTTACTAACAAACTTATGCTTTCACTGGTCTTGACCTTTTGAAAAATTACTGTCACATTATATATTGCTTTTAAGCCATATACAAATCTTTATAGAATGAATAAAAGTATAACCATAGAAATAATTTGAGAAGTTGTAGAATGCAATTCAGAGTCAGAGCTTTTTTAAAGGAGAGGAAAGCTAAGGAAAAAGATTAATGCTTCTTTAGAAAAATGTATCTGAAATAAAATAACATCATGCCTAATGATTATCCTCTAGTTATTTGCCTGCAATCTTACCACATTCCGATCCATCTAGCATCTTGAAATTAATTAATCGTCTGTCTTAAATACAGATTAGTTCACATTACTATGCAATTTACATAATCATATTACTTATGTAATTATGTCTTAAACAAAGATGAAATCATTTGACTTTTTTGCTCAGCAACCTTAGACGGCTCTATTGCAGAATGAAGTCCAAGTTTCTAGGTACAGTGCACAGTCTTCACAACATGTTGCCCACATCTTGCCAATCAGGTCTTTACCCCCTGCCTACCTCCAAGGCATCCTCTCCTTAAGCAAACTGTCCTTTGTAATTCCAGACACGCCTGGCCTTTTCTCCCCACAGCAAGACTTTCTCTCTCCACTCATGCCAAAGGATACAGAAAATAACTCTTGCTGCCTTTCCTTCGGACCTAACATGTTTCCCAATCTGGGTTTAAGAAAGCTAAGTCATCAGTGATTATGAACATTTTATTTTATAACAAACTGATCTAAGATTTTTATTAACATCAAAAATTCTTTTTTTTTTTGGTACTGGGCATCGAACTTGGGACCTTGTGCTTGCGAGGCAGGCAGTGGAACCACTGAGCTAAATCCCCAGCCCAACATCAAAACTTCTTATTTCATGATTTATTTCAGTTTAAGGATTTTACCTTTTAATACAAAATGGCCTCCTTTCTGTAATTAATCTTTACTTTCTAGCCTATTTGGAAGCAATGTACATTCATGATTGAGAGGTTTGGAGGCATCCTACTTGTTTAAACTCATCTTCAAAATAAGACAATACTCAAGGCTTTAAAATATGTGCACAAATTCTTTGACAATCCTCCCATGAATAGGCAGAGTCTATCCATCTTCCTCTTGAAACTAGGTGTATTTGTGACTTATTTGTAACCAATAGAATGGAAAAGAGATGATACTTTGTAACTCCCGAGACTAGGTTATAAAAGTAATGCAACCTCTGGCTTGTTCACTGAATTAGTCACCGTTTGAGCTTTCAGTGATCATTTAAGAAGACAGATCACATAAAGAGACCATATGTTAGGTGCTCCAATAGAGAGCCTCAGCTGAGGTCCCAGCCAATAGGCACCATCAATTGCTAGACATGTGTATCAAAGACACCTGCAGATGATTCTAGCCCTCAACTTGAAGGTCTCATCTGCTTTTTAAGCCTTCTCAGTTGAGCACATTAACTATATCTACTCTTCTCTGTCCAAATTCCTGAGCCCAAGAATAAGAGCATAATAAATGGTTGGTTTAAGCTAATCACTAATTTAGGTAGTAATCTTCTATGTAGAAATAATAAATAGAACAGAAAATTATTGCCTAGAAGTGGAGTGGTACTACAATGAAAATCTAAAGCATGGGGTATTGGCATTGAGACCTGTCTAGCAGTAGCTAAATAGGACTTAAAGAGACTATTAGTGAAAGCCTTACAATAGTGGAAATTGTTGGTGGGGACTTAAAGAAAAGCAAAGGAAACACCCTACAAAGCTACAGGAAATCAAAGTTTTATAAGCTATTGGTGGAGATTCTGGCCATACTGTCCCATGTGGGAATATAAAAAAATAAGAAATATACCTAAAGAATTTGGTGACCTAGTTAAGCAGATTTTCCTGTGAAATATTAAAAGAGACATCTGGCTTCTTGTTGCCTATTATAAATTGTAAGGGAAGAGAGCTGAGCTAAAATACAAACTGTTTAGTTCATAAGCAAAATTTTGAGAAAATACAAGGAGCCAGAAGTTGCCAGGTTCAAAAGTAAAACTTTTTAGATATCTGGCATCTCCAAATGGCGAAGAAATTTCAAACTAACAAGTGGTTCTACAGCAGAGATAAAATCTAAAGGGGGGGCTGTAAGATCATTTGTTAAGAATGGCCAATAAATATATGAAAAAAATGTTCAACATCACTGGCCATTAGAGAGATGCAAATTAAAACTCTGAGACTTCATTTTACTCCAGAAAGAATGGCCATCATCAAGAAATCAAATAACAAATGCTGGCAAGGCTGTGGGGAGCAAAGGAAATGACTACATTGATGATGGGAATATAAACTAGTACAACCACTTTATAAAGCACTGTGGAGATTCCTGAAAAACCTAAAACTAGAAATTCCATTTGACCCCAGCTATTCCTCTTCTAGGTATCTTCCCCAAAGAGCTAAAGACATCATTTTACAGTGATCCATGCACATCCATGTTTATAGCACCATAATTCACGATAGCTGAATCTTGGAAGCAGCCTATATGTCCATAAACAAATGAATGGATAAAGAAAATGTACTATTTCCACACAATTGAGTACTACTCTGCCATAAAGAAGGGTAAATTCAAGTCATCTGTAGGAAAATGGATGCAGCTTGAGACCATAATGGTAAGTGAAATAAATGAGACACACAAGCTTCAATACCACATGGTTTCTCTTAGATGAGTATAAAAGTATAAGTATAAAGTATAAAAAAAAGCAAGTAAACCTAGATAATAAGAAGTAGGAAAACATATTTTGTTCAAATGGGAAAGGAATTAAAAGATGAAGGAAGAGGAGGGAAAGGGATTAAAGAAGAGCTAAGGTACGTGTTATATAGGTACCAACGCCCCACAAGGAATGTAATCATTATGTGATTCAAACATGTACTGTATTAATAGAATAACTGAAAAAAAGGATTTTAAAAAAGATTGTTAAGACCTCAGCAAGATCTAAGGTGGTACCTCATAGAACCTTTCAGATATGCAAAAGAATTTCTGAGAATCTTACAGGCATCTCACAGATTCTTCCTCTTAAAGAGCTTCCAGTAATCTGGAACTCCAAGATAAAGCAGAGCTTGTCTTAAAGAGAACTACAGTTTTGATTTTCTGTTTTTTGCTTTGTTTTGTCTGTTTTTGTGGTACTAGAAATGGAACTCAAGGCCTCACACATGCTAGGCAGGCACCTACCACTGAGCTACCTCCCCAGCACTTTCTATTTTGCTTCAAGATAAGATCTAAGTCACACGGGCTGCACTCAGACTTCCAATCCTCCTGTCTCCACTTTCCAAATAGCTGGGACCACACCACCAGACTCAACAGTTATGGTTTCAATCTAGTGGTATGAACCCAAGGAAGATTCAGAAAAATCCACAAAGTTTTAAGAGAATTGTATTGACAGAAACATGTCAGATTTTACTAAGAGGAATAGAAATAGTAAAAAGTGAAGGGAGGTGTTTGGGTTGGACCACTAACTACCATGGGCAGAAATGGATGAGAAATTTTTTATTTGTAAACATGGACCAATTCTTATGAAAAAGGAAGTCTCCCTGAAAAGACAGAGCAGAGCTTAGAGAACTGAGCTGGGAACAACAGAGGCAAACTGCTAAACATTAGAACTGTGCTCTGGTCAAGAATCTGGCAACACGCATTTGCTGGATTTCAGAAATGCTATAATCTAGTGTTATGTTTCTGGACCAGAGTATGCATTGGAGTTAACCTGTGTGTATTTCACCTTTGGGGGCGTTGTAAGTGTATGTGGAATAGATAACTTGTTTCTTTAGCTCATAGGTCTTCAGATTAATAAAAACTACACTTGAATAGCCTCACCTGAGAAATTATACCTGAGGAGCCATCACCATGCACAGATTTGATTTTGATGATGATATACAAGACCCCAGGTCTCAGCCTACTGGCTTTATAGACATCACTATTAGGAGACCCTAGGAGGAGGCAAGTGTGTTTTGCATGGGGATAGACTATGGCTGTTGTAAACCATATCTGTAAATTATGACACACTCTTTTGAAGCCATGGGTCTATGTACCCTCTCTACGAGGTTAGGTTGGATTTGCTATTCACTTGCAGCAAATAAAACACATTACAAGTAATGCTGTAAGACATGCAAGGCTATTCAAAAAAGTCAGTGCAGCTTCTTCTTTATAAGTTGGAACACTGGATTTTGGGGATCCCAAGGCCACCATGCTATGAGGATGCTCAGCTCACATGGAGAAGCCAAGTGTTGCTGTTCTAGTATCAGCCCTCACCTGCAGCTCGTGTCACCTGCCGGATATGTAAGGCCACCTCCAGGTGACTCTAGCCCTCCAGCTCTCAAGTTGTCACAGCTGAGACCTTTGTCCCTGGATCATACACAGACAATTTCCTTTGTGTTCTGCCGGAATGCTTGACACACAGAAGCTTTAAGCGTGATGAAATGGTCAGTTTAAGCTACTCAGATTTGGGGTTATATGTTGTACAGCAACAGTAACTGGATCAACACCTCAAATGATTGTTATGAGAATTAAATAACATTTATACATTAAGCAAAGAGCCTATGTTTGGCAAAATAAATGCTCAATGAGCAGGAAATATCAAGAGCTAGATATTCTACTTATTTGGCTTTGCTCA